TATATATATATATATATATATATATGTATGTATTAATTTTATAATAGTATTTATATGCAACAGGTACTTGTTGGATATATATGTTGATATATAAATAAAAGGCGACAGGCAGATTTCTCAGTATACATGTATGTAGCCGATAGTAGACGCCATAACGGTACAATTGGCGAAGAAAGCTGTTATATTGCTTATAAAGTAAATATATACGTGGTTTCTTGTTGTGGTGCAGTGTATATCTGGATATGGTGATGTCTAATTTCGTTGTATCATATGAGTCGGTTGTCATCTGAAAATTATGTTGCATGTAAGCTCTATTCTGATGCGATATGCATATAAAACATGCAAATATACTCATATGTATCATGCCTAAAACTATCAAAGGAACTAATATTAATCTATTTTGCAGTTTTGTAGCAGTGCAACTATGCCCCGAGGAAAGACACTGAGCAATCGATACCCTCGTACTTCAAAATACGCACCACGTAGGTGGTTTTGACAATTTCAAACCTAAATCAAACCCGCATGTATCGATCGATTCTAGCAAATGTCATATGGCAAGCGGAAACAGCCCGGTCAATGGACTGGCGACAGTGCCGTCGAAATCGACTGCAGCCGCAGGACATATCGGCAAAGAAAATGGGTGAGAAGTTTTACTGACGACAGCCTAACAGACTGCGATTTGACTCTTACTATCGCACTGGCAAAGAAGGATGGAGATACACCGACTCCTTTAGCTGAGAAGTTAAGCTCTGGTCATAGGCTGGAAATAGATAGCGACGACAGCTTCGAGACTGCGCAGCTGTATGCTGTCGACTGGGATTCGGTCGAGGTGTGTGTGGTGCCTGAAACTGACGACGGTGGTCATCTTCCCAGTCGAGACGTATTTACGGTGTCAGGAACAGGAATTCAAGCCACATGCTTATACGAATCGGCAGAGGAAGATCAGTTTGTGGGGGGTGAAGGCATGAGCGATGTGTCCCACGATTCGTGTGATGAGTCAGAGGTAAGGGATTATAGGCGCTTGTCGGGCCGGAAAGGTGCTGTTGCACTCAAGTCAAACTTGACTGCCACACACTCTGACACACAAAGATCAGCAGCAGCGACTGTGGATGTGATATCAACATTAGAATCAGGCACAAGTGAGTCCGAGAAGTGGAGTGATGTTGAGCTCGAAGTGAACACAATGGTGGGTGGCGAGCTAGTGCGTGAAAGTTTTGACATGTGCGATCCCGTATACAAACCTGCAATGGCCGATGCGGGTGGCGAAGTTGATATATCTCAAGATACTCATATCGCTGTCAAAGCAAGTGGTGTCGGTCCCGAAGTTCATGTGTCGGCATCGGCAGGTCTGGAGCGCTCGGCTACTAACGACTGCGGCACCTCAAGGGTAGTTACTGTTGAGAGTACCCTGGAAGGTGGCTATCCGAACAATACATTTCAGCGGAATAGCAGTTATTCTCTGCCTGCAGCTTCATCGATTGGTAACGTTTTGATGGAGACTGGATCAGATGATAAGCAGATTGGTTTGGGGGCACACTCATGCTCAGGCCTTGACCGAAGTGTTGAAGCACCGAGTCAGGGTGAAGACTGGGCGTGTGTGACGTATTTGGGAGTACCAGACGCCGCAAGTAACGGGCCAAGCACAGATACACGGGGCGGAGAAAATAACGAGGCACACTTTGCAATCCCTGCACCTATTCGATCAGTAAACACTGCGTATCACAGCGTTAGGAAGTTGTCCGACTCATGGGCTAGTCCATCTTTTGTAGATGAATGGGAAAATCCACAGCAAGTGCCTACTCAGGGTGTACAGGAAGCGCAGCTCAACTTGAAATTGGACGAAGAAGTGTCTGAAAAGTACGGCGATGTGGGTCTGCTTGATGGCGAGTGTTTGAGTGGGGACTGGAGCGAGGAGGCATGCGTCGCACCAGATGATATCTGGAACATGCACCCGGGTTTGCCATCAACTGTTGCCACGATTGCTAGTCCGGATTGGTTATTACCGACTCACGAGGGCGTTTTGACGAGTCAGGAATGTGTTACTGCCACATTTACACATTGTTTGACTGGTGTATGGAGTGACGAAGAGGATGGCGATCAGAGTACGAAGCTTAGACATATACAGAGCCCTTGCCAGTCTATACACAACGCCTCTATTACAAATGTGGTGGTTAATCTCACGTTCGATGAGGAGATTGATATCATGGGGTGTGTGAGTGGGGTGTGGAGTGATGAAGAGGCTGATCACTCTGAGGACATACAGCTACGAGAAGTCTCAGACGTGCTCGCTACAAGTGCACAACAACAACTCTCTACAATACAGCCACCACCTGCCATACAAGCTTCTGCATCTCAGCCACGGCTTACAGCAGCAGTGCAGTATGATGATAAGGCGATACATTCAAAGCTTGCCGCGGTGGTACAGAATCAGACTACATTATCACAGCCACCACCTGGAACATTGCAGACTCGGATCGCCTCAGAACAATCGAAAACTGCGGAAGTTAAACCAAATACTTCAGCACAGGCTGCTGTAGCTCAGCCGAAGCCTGCCATGACAAGCCAACCACATACAACGTTGGTACAGCCACAGTCTAGATCATTACCACATCACTCTACAGTGGTACACAACCAACGATCCAATATAAAGGCACGGTCAGCAGTAGTACAAGTAGAACAGCCAGAGTCTGCGATAGTAAAGTCGCAAATTGCATCACAGTCTGCACTAATTCAGTCACCGCAGACAGTTCGACAGCCAAATCTTGCAGTAGTACAGTTGCAACAAGCATCAGAACCTATGCTTATTCAGCCTCAGCAGACAGTTTTTCAGCCAAACCTTACCGAGACACAGGCACAACGTGTACAACGGTGTACAGTTAAAATTAATGTTGTGCCAAAGCTTGTCGCGGGAGGTGATAGTGCCACAACGGGCCATGATACCCCTCATCCGCTGTCAAACTACGTTAAGCTGGAGACAAGTGCCTGTGCAAAATCAGAGTATAAAGGGTCGGTGTATGCTGCAGGTACAGAGGATCTACAGAGTGGAGTGTATACAGATGATGCTTTGAGTGTGAAGATGCGAGCATTTTATATGATACAACGATATCAACGTGCTCGGGCCGCTCGGAGACGTCGGTTGGCTGTCACGAATGGAACTGTGAACAAGCACATAGTCGCTACTGTAGGGACGAAGCAGAGAGGGTCGTATACATCGGCTGAGAATGGTTTAGTTAGAGCTCACTGCGACATTGGTGTGCCGTCTGAAGCACAGACCACTTCTTTACGACCAACTGTCACACAAACAACTACAATGGAGGGTCTGGAACAGAAGCCAACGGATATATCAGACTCGACTACTGATCGGATTATGAGTTGTCAGGCAGTGACAGCTTCACAGCGCTTTACCCCCCAAAAGCTGAGCCAGGTACGTTCAGCATCAGAAGTGTGCACAGCATCGCAGACGTGTGTACCATCCAAAGAAGTGGAGCGTATGGCAATGGGAGGAGGACTGATAACAGAGAATGACCTGGACAGAGAAGTGGACCAAACGGCGGATTCCAAAACGATTACCCTGACCGGTAGTGGTATAGAAGACCATTGCAATTCGATGGGAGAAGATATTGGGCATGTAGCAACGAATTGGCACAGTATAGTGGGCGAGGATGTGACTGTGGGTAGAGACACAACCACAAGTAGCTTGTTGGCAATTAGGGACAACACTTTGGACGAGGGACGGGCGCGGAAGACTGGAGTGCTAACAGAGAGCGATGTACACAGACACTGCATAGCTTTACGGGAGGGGACGGGTGGCCAGGTAGTGAGCAGAGATCCAGGGATTATACCGGTACATACAGAGTACCCTTTGCCACCAGCGACAGCAAGACCAATACAAAGGACCGGGGCAAATAGCAGCAAATCAGGAGGATATGAGAACCGCAATTCTATCCACCAACATGATGTAATGAATCCATCGTCACTTTTTAGACCAGCTAAGCTTGCGAACGTGATGGTTGCCAGTGGCGGTAGTTGTCGTGGGATGCCACAGAACGCAGAGGAGGATGAAGACACCATGTCAGTCGAGTCTTTGAGCGACAACCAGGCGATTGAAGCCGGCATTCCAGTACTTGCTATTGGATGTGCAGAAGCTACTACTGCTCACAATTCAGTACAATTGCATGAGAATATACAGTACCCGCTTGCGGATCTACAATCCAGATTAAGGGCGACTGGTATGGATTGGAGTTTGTTCGGGACTTATAGAGACTCAAACGAGCACTATATTGGGTCCGTACCTGCGGATGACGTGTGCGAGGACAGGCCCGTGCTGGCAGATATGGGGCTGAGGGTGTGTGACGTGGAGTGTCTAGGCGAGGTGTTCAGTGGTATGACATTGGCTGATGACTCAGCTCTAAAGGGCGTTAGCGGGTTAGGATATGATTCAACTCTGTATATAGGTGGGGATTTAGTGAAGCATCGGGTCAGCGGGGCGGGTGATTGTTCCGCGCGAGCCGAGTTTGAACAGAGCAGTATAGCGCAGTTCGGTGCAAATGCACCCATGCTAAAGTCTGGTGTGGGTCGGGGGAACGTTCTGCAGAGAGACCCACTGTCACGTCATGGTACGCTCAGAGAGCAAAACACAGTAGGGCAGCAGAAAGGTGGTATATGGCGAGAACCCATGGGCACGAGTACAACTCCACGGGGCAGCGAAAGCAGAGTCAGAGGTGTGGGTGTCGACGATCAAGGTGGAGACGAGTGTGTGGATGGTGGTATATTTATTAGCCGCCCGCCGAGTGAAGTACAGCGCACTCTCCAAACACAGCAGTATATGCGAGCAGCTTATCGTGACACCAAACCCGATTCAGATGCCACGACAGCGGATTCAATGCGCAACGATCGCTCCATCCCACATCAACGCAACATTCATAGGTGCGCAGGAACGAGTACAAGCACCATCACAACGTCGCGTGCGGATATCTCACAGCTCTATGATGCGCGATGGCCTCTACGCGATCGTGGGTATACCAAACAGGAGGGGACAGGGGCACATATCGGAGATTCTAACGCTCCTGAAGTAGATCAATTGTGTCGCAATACCCCGCAGAAAGCATTGACAACCTGCGAGAGACGTGATGCGGGGTCTACAATGCTCGAAGCAGGCGGTGCTAGAGAGAACCCTCAAAGCCCAGGCTATGCGAACACGACCGTCCTCTCCACTATAAACACACATAGGACGAGAGAGGTGGACGAGAGTGTGGCGGGGTCACCATCGTTACTCAGAGACTACACAGTTGCTTTTAGTAACGCACAGTTATCTCCAGAGGTACCTGGAGTGCCGAGACAATCACCGAGCGCTTCAATTATGTGTACATCGTCCATCGCAGCATCTCGGAATAGGTCTAAGCTACAGTATCCATGCGGTGTAGAGGCCACGCACCGACTAGAAGTAACTACATGCAGCGGGCGCACACCAACACGAGACGAACAGCCGCATGACGACTGTGCTGGCGCACAAGCGAAGTATGCTACAGAATTGCCAGTGAGAACTGACACAGATATACAAGCACATCCACAGGCAAAGTACACTGAAGAATCACTTGCGAGGGATACTACAGATTCACAGGCTAATAGACAGGCGAAGTATAGCGCAGAATCACCACAGATGTTTGATTCATGTGCACAAGCAGATAGACAAGCGGGGCATTCTTCGGAAAGTGAATGGGCTTCCTTCGGCGATGAAAACACACAGCACGAGATCTTTTCACAGCTGATTCCGTGCACCTACGATACGCCACCCACCCCAGTCGTAGTCGAAAAGTCACCGCCAGCAATGAATACAGTTGCCGTAACCGAAAGCCCATATGCAAGATATGAATATGATGCGTCAGTGAAGTGCGGTAGCATAGGGATGAGGTCACTCTTCCCCGTGTCAGAAGTAAACTCTCTGGCAGACTGCGAAAATCCAGCTGTAGCTATATTGGCAAATGATATAACTAGCAGCATAGATCGCGCGCGAAGGTTCTTGGATCTTCCCATAGAATACAGCGGAGCTAAACCGAGACATGAGCGTCTACATGAAGTTAGCCATCCACAAGATGCTCCAGCACCCAACATCATCGTTCCAAACACGGGGACGGAGTACGAGCCGAAATTCGCCGAATTTACAGGTATGATTTCTTGTATGGGGTTACTGTATTTGTTCACATTTTAATGTTCCTGGACATTTTCTCGTGTACAGAGTGGTATTTGTCAATCGTCAGTTTTTTTCAAGTAGTTCACTGGTTTCATTCACGATCTCCGATATGATGTAGTAATATAGCTGATAGTAGTTTTTGTATTCGACCTTCAGAAACCCTATTGACTGATGAGGACCTGGCATGCCTCCTCCGGGAGCGCGACATGCAAAACTGCGAGTTTCAGAGGTCAATACGCGTGCGCTGTGAAGAGGTGACTGAGTATACGGTAGGAAAATTGAGATGTTTGCAATCATTGATAGCACACGCGTGTGCCGTCGGAGGAGCAGTTGTCCAGGCTTTATATAGGTGCGTAACACCCATATGGTAGCCTGGATGTATTTGCCCGCTACCGCCAATTTCTGGGGGTTGTACTTGTTCCTCCGGCTCGTCATGGTACGAAAGCACGTGCTTGGGGTTCAGCAATGTATGTGTGTGTTGGTAGAGTGTCGTCGTACACTGCTGAGTATACACACGCTCCGTGCTACGTCACACAAGCGTGTGCTACTATATGGTAAGTAGTCACTGGTGTCAATCCAGTCCAATTCAGTGTGTATAGTATTTGCCTGCAATGTACTCATTCGATCATCTAAGGATTGAACATGTGTATAATCGAGGTTCACAAGCGACTGGTTTATAATCATTTCATTATCGATGATCCGATGAACGGGAGCTGTTACGACCAGATACTATTGCACTTACAAAATATAAATATATAGCCACACAGAATATATATATATAACCACAACTGGTCGTTTGGGCACATTTGAACGTCCGTGCTAATGAAATAAAGCGTAGACCAAAGAATACGTGCAAATTTGTTCACATTTTTCTACTCGTAAGAACTACAATATGTTACAGTAATTAAGGTCTCTTTGTTTTTCTCATTAACAGTCAATGTGTACACTCAAGACTCATAGTTGCGAATCTCATTTAGGTTGCGTATATCGTTGCTAAGCAGATATAAACGCATGTGATTGTGCTTTCGTCTCAAAACTGTACCTAGTACCTATCGTAGCAATCATATAACTTCACACGAAGTGTAGTCAATAATACTGTTTTCTCTGAGAGATTCCGTAAAATGCAACCAGAGAATGAATATTTTCAATAGTCCTGGATTTTGCACGGGTAGTATACTTTTGAAGAAAAATCTATAATTTGATCTGAAATATTATCACCACTGGTATCACAATAACTATCAATGTCCACTGCAAAGACTGACAGCGACAGCGGCTATTCGGTCAAAGTGGCGTGCGCATCAGAAGATGACTCTAACAAAGGGGAATGGACGTCAATGGGTGTGTGTGTCAGGAGACATCAGAGTATGCAGTAACTCATAGGCAGTTCACGCAGACAACGACAGAATGCACGGACATGTTGGCAGATATGTATGTGACATAATCATTCAGCACATTTTATATCTTGTCAGTGGTCAATGAGTTGTTCTCCCTTTGAAGCCTGCAAGGTCAGATGGCCGTTTACAACTATTCCACTGTGGCTAGGCTGGGTCACAGTTGGGACTCAAGTCAGCGTGTCGTTAACTCGCTTCTACTGATATTTGAAACCTTCTATCGCACAAGTTATCGTGGCTGATATTTACATTCGCCAATTAGCTCTGAGCATAATCCTTAATAACTGTCAGCTCCACCTTTATTGTATAGTAAATTTACACAGCTATAACTGAACATGCAATTGAAACGTCAAAAAATGAGACAATACTTACTCTAGAAGTCGTTTGGTGATGGTATGGTAATTATGTGTGGGTCTACCTGCTGCATTCGACCATAGTCAAACTTCACTCGGTGCTGCGCAAGTATCTGTGATTTTTCGGATACAGGTCAAGGCTTAGTTCATATATAATTTCTGACACTCGTGCCTTGTCTATGAACAACATAGTATTCTTTACCATCCAATTATGGAACTAGCGATCACGAATGTTCAGTATTGTCCCATAAATCTTCCAATGTACTAAATTTATTGCAAGATTTAAACCTGAATGAGTTTTGATGTATAGAATGCTGCTCTCTCTAACTGACTGTTCAGTTTCATAAACCCGTGTGCTGTTAAAATATATATACACACACATTTAACAAGCATGCACAGATGTGGTCGAGGTACTGTTTATCTGCCCAGACAGTGAGCTACACACCAGTGGCACGGGCATGCACCGAGTGGCTACTATGTGCCTCAACGGCAGACAAATCCGGTGGGATAGGTTTGGATTGAAGGCACCAGATGTATTGTTGACTACACCCTCGCATCAAAATAGAGACAAGAAGGGTAGGTAAAATTTGGGTTAGTATAGGTTTAGACCAACGGATCAACTTTTAACCTACCTAACTCTCATTGGTTTTCAAGAATAGCTGGAATCGATTTGTTTGCTGTCGGATGGAGTCCGCAAGTTTCTTCAATTTTTTTTCGTGTTCCGTACGCTTGTTTGTTACTGTCAAGTACATCTCACACAACCGTATGACAGGCAGTGATAGAGTGTGCGAACACAGACGAGAGCATCACACAGGTATAATAAACTCTCACACACAAAGTGTCAAGCCTGTGAAGGCCGCGCCATCACACGGCAACCGCTAGTTCTAGTATATTCTGCACCCATGCACTACCTCTGAAGGTATATTTCGCTTTCACATTGTACACTGGCCAGCACACCAAAGCAGTCTCTTTGGAAGGCGAGCTCTTGTATAGCATGTACCAAGCCGCATTACTGACACAGTCAACATACATGCATTCTCAGCAGATATATGCGCCATGGTAGCATTGGTGGATCAGCTACTTCTGTACAACATGCACACTGTCATCGCTACCAGCGGAACAATGAAAAGATCGCGCACTCTTCTTCACAATTCACGACCTCTCACCTCAATATAGGTCATGTAGTCTAATTCCAGCCTCGTGCACACAACCGACGACTTGATACCAGTGATACTTTAACGCTCATCGTTAACAGGGATATATCTGACGTACTATTCGCCACCTCCGTCTAGGGCTATTCCTGTCAACGCACACACCATCATGTACACCGTAATCAACACAAACTGTGGCAGATTTGCCTGTAGCACACCAACCTGCATCGTTGACAAAAACTCATCTTACATAGTATTAACCACTCCCGTCGAGTACTATCCATACCTACACCTTCTCACACAAGATCACATCGTTGTCATACGCTCTCAGACGAGTCAACATCTGGGAGACACGCCTTTGGCACACCAACCGCTAACGCCGACAAGGGTTTATCGTACTCGGTGTTTGAGTTCGAAAGAACGGCACTCAGCACAGCAGGGAACACTTTCAGTACTTTCAGAGAGGCAGACAGTGCTTTCTGTGTTACTGGTTTAGTCGTGTACCTACATGCTAGCAACCGCAATGCGACTGGTCGAACAGGTAGATGTATTGAAAACAGCACGTTACTGAGGTTTTACTTGAACGTACGAGTGTATACCGGAATATGTGGAGGAAGAAATAAGGGCGAAAGTATAGTCGAAACTGGGACATAGGTAGCCGCGGCGGTACGAGAGACGCATGCATATCAGCAGCTGGTACCTCCCAGTATGATGATTTCAGGCCCACTTCCTGACGATACGGACGCACATAAGAAATGTCTACAAATATCGACTAGAGAATGGTGTGCACGACCACATCAGGGCTCTATCAGACATATGATAATTGTGGATCGTACTCATCACATAGGAACGCACAAGGTATAAGGCACACTACCTGGACATTGTATACGATTCAACAGAATATATCTAACTAAGATCCTCTTGATGTGTGAGGCAGCGAAAAGGTAGCGCACAATTCCAATGGGAAATTGAGATGGTTTCTCCGCGGTGCGGAGAGTGACCCATGAGAGTCAAGTCAAGTCGTGCACCCTCAGGTGCATGTTGCATGTAGACACGTGACAAATATTCACACACACACACATACACACATGCGCACGTAAACATTAGGGTTTAGGGTTTTCGAAAGCGCACATACACCTCCAATATGGTAAGCTTTCTCACCACGATCCGATTAAATAATATCAGCATGTGGTACGCATCTGGCGAATGGTCCTACTTTCACACTCAAGACTTCTTCGTCGGTCTCTCAGACCCATGCTGGCAGTAGGAACTGTGCCAAGACAACCTAAAGAGCCAACAAACCGAATCTATCTTGCTATGCTACAGGCTGTCTCCTCGGGGCAACGCCCATCCAGGGTACTTCGGAACGTCAATCGGCCACAAAACCCCTACAATTGATCCCCATCGATGTAGCGGATCACACGGTGCTGTGGACTGGGGTGCAGCGTCTTGTTGTCACATGCATGGCGAGGCATGAGTGGGATGCGCACACTTTTGCGAAGGCGTCGGGAAGAGTTATCGATGATGTATGTATCAGAAAG